TTTGTGGACAGGAATTCATACGAAGTGATGAGGAAAACAATAGGAGACGACAAGTGGGTGAAGAGAAACGCAAACGACTCACACAAATGACTACAGAATCAGATTCTGTGGATATTCTGTCGAAAAGGGATTCTTCGCAAGAATTCAATGATAATACTGGCGATGAAATCGAGGGTTTAATTGACATTTCACTTAATATTAGTGATGAAGAACTCAATGAACAAATTCTGGAAATTGAAAGTATCGTCGAAAATGATATACAGATTCAGTATAAGTCATACGAGAATCGACTGAAACAGGAGTTCATGAAGTGGTCAGTCGTCCCCGTGTTTAAGACTATTACCGATTATAATGGTATCAATGAGTTGGAGTCCACGCGTATAACCGAGGTTTTAAATGCCTCAAAAGTATTTATCTACCCGTCCACTAGAAATATACTAGAGATTTATGATTTTGATGAATTGTCCCGGATTACTACCATACGTAATGAGGGTCATATTAGAGATGTGGTCACATTTACAAAAGGTTTGAATGGATTCACTGAGATTTGTCCCGAAGACCAGCTATTATTGGTGAAAAAAGGCTGCTTTGAAGTGATTTTAATGCGATTGTTAGCCAATTATAATTATGACAAGGATGAGATACTATTTCAAGTTGTACGCACAGCTAAATATAGTAATATATTAATTAGGGTATATTAAATTAAATTTTTATTTATTAGGACAATGATCATTCACTGAGAATCGGTGGTGACATATTTGAATTAACCGTGTTCAAAGACTTTTTGAATAATATGATACCTCAGTGGAATACGGATTCTATCATTATGGACCTGGTACTTTGTACACTTAAATTTAAACTGTATTGTTGTTTGTAATAATTTAATTGCATATTTACTTATGTAGTTAACAGTGATTATACTATTTAACCCGAATCGACCCAATCTGAGACATAAACACTACGTTAAGTAAGTTTCTAATCGCGGTATTTAGATTTTAATGTGAGGTTTCATAAAAGTTCAAATTTATAAACCTGATTACTAAATTGTTAATAATTTGTGTATTTATTGTCATAGCCTGGAGCAACAGTTGTATATATATCTACTGCAACGGTATCTGCTATTGAAATATAAATGTGAATCCGAATCGCAAACAAATCTCTCAAAACTAATGCAGTGTTTGAGTGATTTAAGAGTTGCGGATGAATTGCATCGACAGCACGAACTCAGTGAATATGAACCACACAAACAATATTACGGACCGCTATTTAAGGAGATTTTCGACTTTTAGAAATGCAATCGTTTATTCAAATATTTAATTTTATCCATTATATGCACATTTGTAAACTTTATTACTTAACAATATTCTAACTTTAACTTAAGAGTCTTATGTGTCATGTAATATGTTATAAATTATGTTAAATAAATCCTGATTTGTAATAAACAAAATGTTAAATTTATGTGTAAAATTGTATTTTAACAATTGATAAATAATTGGTACTGTAATAACTGTAATATAGTTGAGTATTTGATTAGAAGATATTGATTTAACTTCATATTTAGACTCTTTAGATATTTCGCGCCTGTATTTAGAAAAGCGTAAATATGTGGTATTATTTATTGCAAGAATACTTACTTTGAGTGTGTGTAATGAATTATGAAATTAATTTAGGTTTGGTTAGGGTAGGGTAGGGTAGGATAGGTTAAGTTTGGTTAGGTTAGATTTGGATTAGTTAGGTTAGGTAAATTATCTATAATTTAAATTTACATTTGTTAATTTAAAGATTATACTAGAATCGCGGTTTGGCATCGAATATACAATTAAACTAGATCTAATATAATGTAATATTTTATTTTTAATATACAGAGGTTATTTTTAATAACTTTTGTAAATGATATTGTAATATATAATTGTATTATAAGTATTCCCCAAGTAAAAAACTAAATATATATTAACTCTACAATGATAAATAGCATCAAACTAAATTAAAAATGAAAGTAAACTAAACTAGGAAGCATTAATTAAGATTCCCTCCAATGTCTATAGAGAATTTAGACAACTGCTATCCAAAGTAACCAAGGTCAAACATATACAGTTACTACTAGTTTCTCATGTAATTTTTTATAAACACAAATCTCAAACATAGTGACATTTTATTGCATTTCTAGTATTTGTTATGTTTTTAAAAAATAAAACCTAAAAATAATTGACAAAATTCTGTGAATAAATAATTTAAAGCCATTATAAATAATGTCTAATAAAACTATACATAAAATATGTGCTATTTGTGGCCAAAATTCACGAATTGGTAAAAGTTATAAATATTTCATGCTTGCTATTTTGTATCTAAATTTGTATCAATACATAACCAGGGCGAAATTACGGTGGGTTTACCTGCGAGTCGTGCAAAATGTTTTTCAAGCGAAATGCGCTCAACAATAAGGTTTGAAAATAACATAATTTAAGCTAATTTTTAATACATATTTAATTGAATAGACGTTTATATGTCCCTCCAATGGAAAGTGTATAATGACTCCAACGACCAGAAAGTATTGCTCCAAATGTCGGATTGAAAAATGTTTTGCCATCGGAATGAGAAAAGTATTTATAAA